ATGAAATACTCTTTAAATAGACAACTTTAAAGGATTCCATTTTTAACAAGTCTGGCATAATTACTTTGCTGTAGTGACAAAAATAGTACTCAATCTGAATATATTTTTTTTTGTTAGCTTTGTAAATATAGTAGTTTAATCCAGAACTTAGTTTTACTGTGCTGTGGAATTCCTTTTGTTTTAGAACCTCAGGATAAAACGTTTTATCCTGCTATTCCTTGCTGCTGAGTACTTGGAAGTTAGCATCTTATCAAAGTCAAGTATCAATCTGATGTATTTGAAGACTCCTAAATCCCCAAAGCTTTCACTTAAAACAGGTTTATAATGCTCTAAGTTACTTGCCACAATAAACAAAAGTACAAAATTAAAATCCTGGAGAATAGAGATATGGGTATATGAGTATCTGAGACAAAAAGATAGTTTTTGCATCTAGATTCCCAACAAAATGAGATTGCTCAATGTTAAGTTTATCTTAAAAGTCAGTACTTAATCTAAAGATGAAGTTTTAATGAAGCATAAGAATGTTGAATAGAATGATGTTCTTAAATTTAACTTTGGGATGACGACAGCTCTTACCTATGACACACGACAGTAAATAAGAAATTGTCTGTGAGGCTGAGTTATTGAATATATTGTTTTTCTCCTACTTGATGCCAAGGGAATTCAAAAGCTCTAAATTACTTCCTGTATAAACAGAGAAAAGGAAGGCGGTTTTAATAGAGAAAGATGGAATTCAATAAGTGGAAGAGACATAGGCTAGGCACCAGAAAAGCAGAGCTGAGGTTGCTGTACCTTACCCGTGTAAGGTTGGGATACCTTTTCCTATCGGGCAGTGCAAGATCTGAACAGTGGTGTTTCCTTTTCTGCCATCAGAGGACGGTTCATTTGTCTGCCTTTCATTTCTCTGGGAAGAATTTTTCATCTGGGTTCTTCTGAATTTGATTTATTTGAAGTCCAAATTTCAAAAATTGAAGTTTTGATATCCTGAGTACCTTTACTTCTGGTTCTCCCTTAAAATGTTTTCAATGGCTGCAGGACTTTCTAGTAAGGGTTTATATTTTATAGTGGATTTAAGAATTTCCCATTTAAAATTTGCTAAGGTTTCCTCATCTTACATTATGTAATTGATGTTTGAGTATTTAAAGCTATCTAATGCAGCGGTCCCCAAACTTTTTTGATTGCACATACCTATCACTAAAAAGTGTTTGAGTACACACCCCCAATATATGCATATTTGTTTACTTATAAATTATATACATGTGCTACTGCACTAATATGTTACATTCTGAAGCATGCACAAAAAATAAATTAATAAAGGATGAGAGAAAGATGAAGCAAACACTATTTTTAAAATACTTTTTAATCTAGGAATTGTACAAATATATTTTCTTTCTGCATCCTAGTGGATTGTCTTGTGCACCCTTCGGGGGTGCTTTGGAGACCAGAGTGGGTCTGGGATATCGCTGTTCACAGAATACAGGCATGTGGGCAGGAATGAAACTTTGTGTAATTCATTTCCCTTGGTAAGGGGAGTGTGAGTGGCAGCAGCGAAACACTTCTTGCAGCTTCATTCTTCATGAAAAGTCCTTGACCAGTAACTGACTGGAACTACCTTTTTTTTTTTCAGTGATGTAAAGCTGTAACAGTGTAGCACTCTGGTTTAAAAGGCAGATAAGTATTTTGGGATGGGGTGGATGGGCACCCCACCCAATACAATCAACTAAGACAGCTTTCTCAAAAAATAGTTCAGGTAAAGGATACAGGTAATTAATATAATTCCAGTTATATGATGGGCTGAATTACTTTTATATATTTAGAGAGAAAGACATTCCTATCCTGTGCAATCATGTGATGAGCACACATAATTATATACACATTCCAATGTTTACATGATGGTATTCTCTCTAGCTGTGCACATTCATGCATACAGATTTCCTAGACATCAGATACACTGATATCTATAGGTATTCCTTAATACACATGTGACTCAAGTTACCTTGAGCACAATTGAACACAAATGTCAAATAATATTGTGGCAGAACCCTTACTTGAAACAAAGTGTTTTGATCAGCTGTGATTGGCATTGCAAATTAAAGCTTAAAGAAATATTCATTAGAAAGATGATACTGTTTTTGAAAAAGGGAGAATTTTGTTTTATTTTTCTCTTGTGTTCTTGGAACTCCACTTTTTATGTTTCTGCCCCAGGGGTGGGGGGGTGAAATTGCAGGAGAAGGGTGAAAGAGATGCTTCTTTTGTGCTCCCCAGTACTGTTGATGAAATCCTAAATTATGAGTTTATTGTGCCATTCAACACTGTATTAGTTTTTCCTTTAGGGTTCCATATATCAGTATCCATTGAGATTGCTAGCAATTAAGAACACTCGGGCTTTTAATGAAAATAGCCCCCAATCATATGGAGGGTAATAGGAGTTTTGACAGTAGCACAGGTAAGCATAGTATTTCCACCCCTGCATGTATACATCAGCTAAGCTTGGGCTTTGAAACACAACAAAATACAAAAAGCAAGGTACTTTATTTTTTTTTCCAAACAGCACACGTGGTTAATTAATACTTGATTAAAAGTATCAAATTGTGTGTCCACTGTTTTGCAAACAGCACGTATGAAATCCCATGGCTTTATGAATGGGAAGCATTTGAAGTATTATCCTTACTGCAAGTTTTTGCATTTTATTACAGCATGGACAGCTGAGTCTGATGATAGGTTCTGATTTCAATGTAAAGACATGATTGTACTCTTTGAAAAGAAACGTTCAAAGGAAGCCCAGCCTGGGGAGGGGAAGATACAGGCTGGGGATGGAAATACTGACATGAAATTACTTAACTGGTACGTTAAACCACACAACTGTAATGGTTCCTTCTGCTTGTAAAAATTACTGGAGCCACTTCTTCAAGTAACATCAAAGGATCAATTTAGTTCCTTGGAAATTAAATTTTACTAGTGAACTACTGTATTTTTGTGTTTTAATTATACCTTAATTGGAAACAATGTATTTTGGAACAGTTTACTAAAGCTGGTTCAACATGTCCTCAGTACACTGTGTGCATGCCAAGGTCCCTTTTGTGTAGCTCTTAATGTTATTAGATACTGTTGTGTCATTGGAAGTACCTTGCACATTTGCTGCTTGCCTCAGCATTTAGGAGCAGGTTCTTTAGAGCTTTTGGCTCCAGCTTTCTAAGGTGGCAATGTTGGCTGAAAATAAGAAAATTTTGAGTTTGTGGTCAGTGAAACTGCAAAAAAACAGAATATTGATTACACTTTTAAAATGTTTTTTTTCCACCCTAAAACTTTAGGGTAACAATAATGCAAAAAAAGGCACAACATGTTTTTGCAATAAATATTGAAGTAATATAAACTGTTGCCTTGTAACGTTAGTGTATGTTTACTGACAGTTAAGTATTATTTTTCTTTTTACCAATATCAGTTCTTACTATTTTTAATATTTTATTTCTCATCTATAGGGTTGAATTAAGTCTCTGAATATTCTCTAGGAAAGACTAGGGATCAATGTGCAGCTGTGTTTGGTGATCAAGCTCTTTCTTTGCTCCTGTGTCTGCTCAGTTGGAGTTGGGTGCGTGGTGGTGGGAACACCTTGTACAAAGCCAACCAGCTTACGTGTGCAGTGGCCAGTAATACTTCAATTACTTTGACTGAAAGTGGGCCTGCAGTGCTTTGCATTTGATTTACAGTGCAATTTATTTGGATGAGTTCTTTAATTGGAATTAATGGGGTTTGGCCTTGGGTTCTTCTGTCAGGAAACTGGTTTTGTGGGTTTCACTTATATTTTTGGGTGGCTTTTTGTAATAGGATCTGCATCTCAGAGCTTGAAGAAGTATTTTATTTACTACCTTATTGATGCTTTCCTCTTGCTTTGTTCTTCAAAATATATTTGCTTCAGAAATAAAACTTTTATGAGAACTTTTATAACCTTTTTAAAATTAGCTTGTGTGACAATATAGATTTTGGATGAAAGTGATCTCTTCAGCATGTATACTTCATAAGAATTTTTAAATACTGGAAAAATCTAGTTCACTTCACTATTGAAAGCTAAATTCACCTGACAGCATTCTGTTTTTAAAGGCAGGTTGTCATTCCAGTACATCGAAACAAATGAATAATGTTGTGTCATTCTTTCACTTAGACTGTTTATTGGGGGGAATCTTACATCCTCGGGGCTCTCACTGTATAAGACATCTTTTAGTGGACTTCCTACTCAAAGGATATTATTGCTGAAGTCGCCGCTGTTCTTCCTTCCAGATAAATTCCATTATGTGTTGCCAATAACAATGCCTTGTCACTTTGTTGGCAGTGAAATTAAGTAATGCCTGTTCAAGTTGCTGGAAGATAGATGATGCAGTAAAAGTATTTCAGCTAACCTTAAAAGAATACATCCACTTAGTGGCTAAAAATAGGATGCTTCTGTTTAATGCTTTGGTTTTACCAATAAATTTTAAAATGCCAGTAGTAGCCCAGTGGATGAAGCCATTTCTGTTAGGGGTAGGTTCTTTTCTTTAGAAACGCTGGTGTGCTGCAGCTCTTGAGAGCAATACGGTTCCATTATATTCTGTTCTGCAACTCACTGAGCTGAAAGTGGGGGAAGGCATTTGGATCTTGGAGTCCTTAACATATGTGTTTTCACCCCTCGATCACTTATTTTAATCCAAGCCAGTCTGTTGCAAATAAAAATAGTACCTTTCCTGCATGTTCATATTGAAATCATACTTTTTGATATTACAAAAGCAATATGAGAAAGGTGGGCATTCCTGCAGCATCTTCATCAGAAACTTGGAAAGTGAATGAACTTGACCCATGTTAGAGGGACTGTCTAGAGAGTTCTTTCCCCAGTAGAGTATTTAAATACACGGCTGGTCAAAATATGTGCATAATAGTTAAAAAACTCAAATCACAGTTAATAAGTAGTCTAATTACTATGCACTATATCCCTGAAATCCAATTAATTGCTTTTATTTCTTTTATTTCAGATTATTTGAAGGACGGTCACCAAGGAAGCCTGAGAAACTTAAGACTCTTTTCTGCTACTTTAGGAGAGTCACAGAAAAAAGTATATCCTTTATTCTTTTTTTTTTGAGCTACAGAACAGATACATGAAAAATTTTATTCCATTAAATTTAGATATGGCTATGCAGCATTACGATGGAAGTGTGTAACAAAAGCCAGCTTGCTAAGTACACTGATATTCATATTAATGTCACTTCTCATTTAGACGATGCATGCTATTAAAATTTTTGCACAGAGCTTATTCTGTTTTCTTTTTTCTGAGAGATACGTATGGGGGGATGTGTAAAATATATAGAAATATATTTTCACACACACCCTCTCTCTATATGTACCAAGTGTGTGTGTATAAATGTGTATATGGGTATATATACATATATTTATAATGTTTGTAATATATGTAACTATTTGCTGCACTGCATCAGAGTGAGAATGTAGAGGGAATTCAGCATCATAAGTAGTAAGTAAAACCACAGGCTTAAAGATTCTGAAGTGAGCGTCAGATTTGCTGCCATATGCACATTTAGGCCTTTGATTATAACGTTTGTAGTTCTGAGGGATTTTCCCCTGCTTGTGTTGGTGTTTCAGGTTTTCCCCTTCTATTCTTCCAAAGCAAAGCTGTTGTGAAGTTTGCCCAGTTAAAATAAAAGAAGTGATAGCAAGACATGAGATATCCCCAACTCTTTTAGAAGTTAGTGCAATATTTTCCTTAGTGTGTGTAGTCAGATCTTCTGTTGTTACCATGAGTTTGAATATCTGCATAAGCTTTCAAAAATAGATGTATTTTTGTGAGAACTGTATCAGAGCTTATATAATGTATTTTGGAGGAAAAAGAGATTTTGCTGCAGCTGCATCCATCACATCTGCAGCAATATCCTTATTATTGTATTTTTTTCTTTACGTGTCAGTGTTTCACTGTTTGCTTCTTATTCTCTCAGAAGGGATTGTTTTAGAAGAAAGAGAACTTTAAGCTATTAAATATAAAAGTCCCTTTACTTGGTTCAGTCCATCTTCAGTTCATCATTTTAATTCACCAGAAATTAAATGCAGATACATCCTGTTTCAGCTATCAAACTTTCAGCAATGTCAGTAGAACTAAATCTCTGAGGTAAAAAGTAAATTGTGATCTATGTGTGTGGCTGAGAAGAGATATATAGTGCACTACCTTTTTTTTTATACTTGAGAATAATGTTTTCATGCAAACCAAATCCTAAATACATGCAGCTGTCCCTGACCCACTCTGTGTATGAAATCTGTTTGCAACAAACTTTATGAAACTATCGTATTAGGTTTCTTAACATTATAACTTTAAACAATATTTAATGAGATTCTTGAGTGCTCTTCTCTCAAATTAAAAATTCTTACTGTGCCTTTAAAAGATCCAATTTCTTGTTCTTTTTTTTGTCCAAGGAATTAGTAAGACTGAGGTAACTTACCTCTATAAATTACTGTAATAATTTTGTAACTTTTTATTGTAAATGATAACTGAATTCAGTGCAAAAGAACACAGTGGAGACTGTATCAGCTGAAGACTTTGCCTCAAAAGGTGAATGCTTAACTTGTAAAATACCACCTGATACCAGAGTTCCCTTGTGGAAAAGTACTAAAAGCTGTTCACTTTTTTTTTTTTTTAAGAGCAAGCAAGGCTTTTTTTTTTTTTTTTTTTTTTTTTTTTTTTTTTTTTCCTAAGCCCCTATAATGTTGGAGAAAAGCATGGGATTATTTAAGGCTTTTGGAAAAATGTTTGTGCTTTACATACCGTTTTGAATATTTTTCACAAGCAGCACAGTAGACTTACTGAAGCAAAGAAATGAGTCTCAAATCAAGTTTTTATTAGGATGACATCACCTAATGAAAGTTTGGTATTATCTTTCTGTTGCAAACCTGAACTTTTTTGAGTAAAATAAGGAGAGAAAATTATAATGCATCCTTCCTGCAACAAATAATGGCTCTTCTTTTTCTGTTGAGGGCAGGAGTCTTTTTTTCTCAGTTAAAATACAGTGAATTTGATTGGCATCCTGGCAGGGCTGAAAACAGCTTGCTCCGGAATCCAGTGGCACTGCATCTTTATTGACATAGTAGGGCTTTCTTGGAGATAGGAGCTGCTGCTTCATCCATCCATGGGTTGGGTGCTCTGTACGTTGACACTGAACAGCAATCACCTCTAAAGGGTCACAGCTTCTTCTTTTCTCAGTGGCAGCACATTTTACTTTAACTTCAACTATCGAGTCTTTCTAGTAGTGTTTACAGTTTAAGTGAAAATCACTTAAGAAATAGCTTTTCCTTGATCTGGGAGAAGAAAATTATTCAAACTTCAAAGGGAGATGCAAATATTTTGGTTTTCCTGTTACTTGTTTGCAATCTGAGCACGGGCTGTCAGGGGAAGATTTAAAGCTGCTCTTGAGGAAAGTTAAGCTCTCGTGTTTCCACCAAGAATGATGTTTGTTTGCAATTTTAAAAGTTTACCACTTAAAATAATCTAAGGACTAAAGCTCCAGCAGTTAATCCATTTTCCTCTGGGGTTGGTTTACCTGTAGAACCTACGGGCTTGGTGACGTTTACAAGGCAGTGTCTCCAGGAGTTTCCAGACTGGGAAAGGTAAGTTAAACATTCTGTTAATCTTAAGAAATTTCTTTAAACGGTGATAATTTAATCCCATTCTTATGGAATTGATCCAGGCCTGGAAGTACTACAGAAAACAATGTTTGGTATGAATTGCTATGGAGGGAAGTACAGAGGGAAACTGCCATTTCCAAAACAATCAGAAGTACAATGAAGTGTGGGTGATAACCAGCATGAAAGCACAAATGTTGCAGCTTTCTTGCTGGTTAGCAAGTAAATGTGGGACAAACTTGTGTGAAAAACATAGAACTTCAATTACAAATTTGGGGTTTTATGGTGAAAGAGGTGGAGAAACTGAACAATTGACTGCTAAACCTTTACAGTATTTTTTTTCTCAAAAGCAAATGCATTTTCTTTAATCCATCAGGGTTTTTCTTAAACCACTTTATGTTTAAGCTGTGTAAGAAGTTTGGGTTTGGGTGGAGTTTCTTTTAAAATGGCTGTCTTTGTGTGGAGATTCTGTAATCATCCTTTCTGTACAATATTTTTCCTCAATGATAGATCTCAGAAAAAACTCTCTAGATTGCACGTCACCTATGAAGGCACTATTGAAAGCAACGGACAAGGTATGCTACAGGTAAGCGCACATAACAGTAAATGCAGCTTTATGTCGTGTGTTTGTCATACTTTAATGGTCTGCCAGCTTAAAGTTATTGTTTATCCTCAATTGACTTAAATGACGAGATGTTATGCAGTGTAAAAGAAACATCAAAATTAATTCCGTGGACAGTTTTAGCACTGTCAGTATTCCCCAGCTCATCTAGATTTGCACGTGTACCTGTTACAGAAAGAGTTGACAGAAAATCACAAGCCCTGGACAGCTATAGGTCTTTTGGTTCAAACCAAGATCAAAGATTGACAAGATAAGTTTCAGGCTGTGATCTTGATGAGTTGTCAAGGGTTTCAGTTTATTTTTAAAAAATTATTCTTGTGCCCCAGACAGTGACCAGGTCAGTAGTTCAGGAGACTTTCTTGCTGCTGCCAGCGTCACTGTATCGGTCTGGGAGCCAGTCAGCTAAAAGAGATTCAGAAGGCGGATGTCCTGTCCATATCTATAGCAAGGAACACATTTGAGTTTTCAAATTAGGTTATTTAAAAAAAAAGAAAAAGAGTACTTTCTAGAGTTCAGTTACCAAAAAATTTTAGAACTTCTTTAGCCCGGAACAAGCAGTGCAAAGGAAGAGGAGGAAGGAGAATAGGAGGACTTTCTCTGGAAAGAGCAGATGCTAGAGAACAGTAGAACGCCAACATTAGCTACTAAACCAGTTAATGTGTAATGATTCTCCTCTCTGCAGTTAGTGTCATTTATTCTGTTTTGTCCAAAATTAGACTGTGACATTTTTCAGGGAGGGAACTGCTTTTGGTCTTGTAGAGCAGTTGGGGTAATGGAGGTAGCTCACTTTCCTGATTGCTGCAGGAAAAGTCATAAAATAATTAGCTGCTTAAATATGATGATTGCTATACAGGTAGCTTAGCTCAAAAATTGCTCATGAGCAGAGAGGAAATGCTGAAGGGCACAGTCGTTTGATCCATATGATGTATCTATGAAATGAGACTGTAGATGAAGTGGGTTACTGGTCTGGTGTTCTGCAATGCTTTTTCCTCAAACTTTAAAATGTTTCATGACTGTATGAAACTTACACTCTCAAAATGGGCATTGAAATTGCTATGAACTCAGCAACAGCTCAAGAATATTCATTATTCTGCTGTCTCTATTCAACTGTATTATAACCTTAGAGGTGAGAGATGGTTTAATTATGCTTTTTTTGTGTAGTGTTTAAATTTCTGTTTCACTCCTTAAATTCAAGCACTGCCTAGGGAGTGATATTTTTCCTCCTGGCTATTTCAAGTCTTATCAAAGAAAATATCTCCGCTCAGAGGAAGAGCGGTCTCTCCAGGAGGGAGCAGGATGACCAAGACCATCCAGGAGTCCACAGTGACCCCAGCCTAAGCTGGCAGGGCCACTGGCTGGGACAAGCAGAGCAGGCTGGTGGTCATCAGACAAATACAAGGTGATGAGTCAGGTTCCTGACGTCAGTCCTAGATGTGCAGTCAGCAAGAGAGCATCAGTAGGGTACAGGGCTGGGCATGGGGCCATATTTGATGTCCCAAGTGAGGTCGAGGACAAGGGGGTGTGTTTGTTCAGCAAATCTTAAACAACTGAAGTGTGTTGGCATTTCCAGGATAGGTATCAGGAACTCTTGCTGTTGTAGTGGCTGGCCCTCCCTGTGCTTTAGGCTTGAGACTGATTCCTGGTGACCCACACAGGTGTTCATGTCACTCCAGCAGCTTTTGTTCCTCTCCTGTAAACGTGCTCGCATCAGTTACCTAAATAAAAATCAATAGGAAGCTAAAAGCATTTCAAAGATGAAGTGACTTTTTAAAACTATAAATGTATACGGACAGTTAATTTGCATAAACAGTAATTACTTTATTGAATAAACCAATTACAGTTACTTTAAAAACTGTTCTCTGTGTAGAAATGTAACTTGTAAAATATGTGTTATTGCAGCAGGAAGAGTCTAGAGCTTCTCTGTTTCAAGCAGAAACCTTAATGATCAAAATGACTGGCCTTGTTCCAGTGCATCTCAAGGAGAAATCATAAGAGATTCTTTTAGGTACAAAACAACTGGTACAAGGGCAACGCTGAGCTAAAAATGCTTTGGTGTGGACAGCTGGGGCAGAATGCTTTTAAAGGACAACTTAATTCCTTAATGTTCATAAAGTGCAAAAAGAATACTGTAATTTGCTGGTTTCATTTTTCATATTTACTGAAATATTTTTATTCTTAAGTATGTGCTCTTCAAAGGCAACACACAAAACTTGGATTCAGAGCATTTGAGATGCAGAACTTTATTTTGCTGTGTGATCTCTCACTTGTCTTAAGTTTTCTGAGAAGTAGAAAGGAAAAAGAGAAAGGCGTGCTGTTAATCAGGTTCTTTCCTGCTGCTTGTATTTTTAAGTGATACTAGCAGATCTCAACAGAAACTTTATTTACCTTGGTAAATGAAAGGATGTTATGCTGTTTGCTTATCTCGTGATCCTTCTGAATATATTTTTGCTAGGTTGATTTTGCAAACCGTTTCGTTGGAGGTGGTGTGACCGGGGCAGGACTAGTACAAGAAGAAATTCGGTTTTTAATCAACCCGGAACTGATTGTATCGAGGCTCATCACTGAGGTCTTGGATCACAATGAATGTCTTATCATCACAGGTTAGTCTTTGCAGAAAATGTTTCACGTCTTATTTTATATATAGAAAATATGTTTTGAATTGAAGTTTAGTATGCTTAAATGCTGTAGGCATAAAAAGAAAAAAGAAGAAAAAGAGTAAGTCAGTATTCATTTGACAAAGTGCTTCGTCTTCACCTGCCTCTTAAGAGCATAGGGCTGCTGGATCCAATAGATGTTTTGTGAAGGAAACAACAACAACAAAGTGATGGCAAGCAGACAGAACTTTTTTTAATCGTATATAAATGTGTTTCAGGATTCAGTGTTTAGGCCTACCTCAAGAATTCTGTCGGGCAGGATAGGTGAAAGCCACAAATACCAGCTCTTAGCTGGTCCCAGCAGATATTGCTTGTTGTGTTAATGCAGGGTGGGGTTTTTTTGTTCCTGTCTGGAATTTGTAACATTTGATGTGATCAGTGAGACTGAAAACTGTGAGAAGAGGAACTGCCTTCCGTTTACCAAAAAGGAGAGGAAGTGTGAGGGGAGATGATCGGGATCCATTAAAAAGGGTAGAAAGTCAGGAAATGCCTCTTAAGGATTTTGAGATTTGGATCTTGTAAGTTATGAACATGTGTTTGTGTTACTTTTAAGTTAATTATGGGTTTGTAATTACAACATCAACTAAATACTTCTCCAGTATGTTGTTGAGGGGCTGTGTACGGAGATGTGCTGTCTGTCCAATGCTTTGCTGAGAGAGTTTTTCCTTTTGTTTCCGCCTCTGTCGGAGAACTTGGAATGTTTTATTATCTGTGGATGAAAACAGCATCAAAACAGCTAATGTCACTATTAAGAACTGGAGAGGTGGGGGTCATGCTGTGTGTGTGTCAGTTCTGTACACGGGAACAGAGTGAGAGTTTTTTATGACTGAAAAACAAAATTATGTGATACTATTTTTTATTTACTCTAAAGAACGGCAAGAAAGAAAAAAGTATTTGATCAGAGACATCCTCTGGGCAAATATTGTAATAGATTATGTATATTTTCTATTTTTTAGTCTGCTATAGTAAAAATGTTGGGTTTAGTTACCTGAGCTGCCTCCACAGTCAGGAGTTTGTACAGGTATTAGAACACTTTTCTTGGAAAAGTCCTTCCAAAGCACTCATTTCTCTCCCATGCATGCACAGGAGAAATTTGAGCTTAGATCTTGCAAATCTCCCTCTGTTCTGAGCTATTGATTGTTCTGGGCAGAGCATCTTCTGTTTTCAGTCTTAGGCTTGGTAATCTTTTTAAGGCAGGGTTTTATTTTGTTTTTCTACCCTGCTGAAATTAATACCTCTTCTGTGAAAACTTTTTGATAAATTGGTTTTTGTGATTGCCTTTTAAAAAAAAAAAAAAAAAAAAAAAGATTCTTGGCCATCACTGATTTCTGTTATGTATTTTGGATATAATACTATAACAAGATGAACGAATTGAAGTCGTGTCCTCTGGGTAAGGCTCTTCTGGGGGCAGGGTGCAAACAGAGCACAGCGCTCAGTCTGCGTAATAACTGACTGGGGGAAAACACTAAATGAATGTTTTGAAGGAGCTTCCCCCATTTCCCTGCAATAACTAGTGATTTGGCATGAACAAATAAAGGTGAAGGTGTTTTTTCACTGCAGCAATATTTTTTTAGTTTTCTTGAGTACTTTATAGTGTTTTGCAATTAGTATTTGCGATATGGTGTTCCTTTTAAAAAAAAAAAAAAAAAAAAGAAGATTCTTGGCCATCACTGATTTCTGTTATGTATTTTGGATATAATACTATAACAAGATGAACGAATTGAAGTCGTGTCCTCTGGGTAAGGCTCTTCTGGGGGCAGGGTGCAAACAGAGCACAGCGCTCAGTCTGCGTAATAACTGACTGGGGGAAAACACTAAATGAATGTTTTGAAGGAGCTTCCCCCATTTCCCTGCAATAACTAGTGATTTGGCATGAACAAATAAAGGTGAAGGTGTTTTTTCACTGCAGCAATATTTTTTTAGTTTTCTTGAGTACTTTATAGTGTTTTGCAATTAGTATTTGCGATATGGTGTTCTTCTCTAATGGAAATGGCCATTCCATCATTTTCATTTCATCCCTGGAGCTCTTCCACCTCGGTTCTTAGCCAAGTCTCCACTGTGTGTCACAGTCCTCTTGATAAATTACATTCTTTGTGATGCATCTTGACTCAGCAGCCTAATGGGTATAACTGTGTAGCTTAAATTTGCAGAAGAGTCTGAGAAATTGGAGAGAAATTAAATTTGTTGTGATTGCGCGGTATCTGGTTAAGATCACTGCTGTAATGAGTATGGAACTGGTCGTGCAAGCAGTCAGCTTCTTCAGCACAGACATCTACCCACAGAAATGTCAGCAGCGGTACCAGAGATTCCCACAGCTGCGTTTCTGGTAGATCTGTGAATGTGTCAGTGTTTTTCACTCGGGGCTTTTTCTTTTCTGTTTTTTTATCCTCTTTGAGTTCACATATACCCGGGCAGCGTTAGGAGCAGATGAAGCCATGTTCCATGTTTGCTTTAAATCTACAGGTTGAGCAATGGCCACTCCTTGCATCTTAGCGATGCATTTTCAGAGACTTCTAAGCCCATTACCCGTGCAGTAAACAAGATCAGATAATTGGTTCAGCTGACAATTTACTTGGAGAGGAAAAAGTGTTTTTCAGCTGTATTTAGCAGGCTGATCGTGCCACTGTCTGGAGAGCCAGAAGACTAATGGTGGTGCAAGATAAGCATCAGAACTGATTGAAAGGGAGAGAAGGACCATCCCCTCAGTTCTGGCAGTAAATGTGCATCTGTATTGGTGACTTAAAAACTATACTCTGCACTTTTCACATGAACTCCTTTTTATTCAGCAGTGGTGGTACTGCCTCTTCAGAGGTATAATTTCTAGCTCATAAGAAATACTAGAGGGACAGTATGGTGGGGTTTTTCCCAATCCCTGGGAACTTTCTAATGTCATACAGATGCAAATGGAAATCTAGACTATGGAGTCTGATTAAGGGCTATATTTATTTTTAGTAGGAACCACAACTCTTTCTAGATGAATGAGGTCCCATAAGCACTAACACTTGGCGATTTCACTGTTTGTCTGATGCTGTAGCTATTACAAATTTCACAAAGAATGCATTTTTGAGTTACAGTTGTAGATACTTTCTTTGACTTTAGGTTGGCTTATTTAGTTTATTTTGTAGCTTGTTTTTTAAAGTTCTGATGGAATTGTGCTATTTTGCTCTATTTGTGTCTTGGCTTTTTTTACCTCTTTTTTATTTTTATTTTTTTTTATTTATGGGAAGAAAAAAGAAGTACAATTGATTCCTTACTGCCTCTGTTCTCCCAGCAACAGCAGTTTGTATCCCAGTAGTTCACAGGCAAAGGTGCTGCCAGTTAAGTAATCATTTTTGTCTGACACATTTCCAGAGCTTCACTTCTGAAAACCCATTGATTTTCATTAACTTTGGGTTTCTGGGACATGAGTTTAGAGTTCCTGTGATTTCGTTGAGTTTCTCTGTTATTGATTTTTTTTTTTTTTTTTTTTTTTTTTTTTTTTTTTTTTTTTTTTAATATGTATCTATAAATATAGATATTTGCTTGTTTGTTTATTTTCTGGTGCTTTCATCATCACACACTGCACTTCCATAAAAATTAATGAAAACTATGAACCTTGAAACAGTGAGCTTAATACTCTGGCTGTCATTTAATCTGTCTTGTTACAGTATCTTGACAGCCCAGTCTTTTCTTTGCACAAGCTAGGCACCAAAGGAAATGCTTCCTTTTCAAAGTTGGAACTTTTGCTACGCTGTCCCCTGAAGAGAGCTGTCAGAAAAGTCACATGCTTCCCTTGTCTTTTGTAGCTATTTGCTCAGACAGTTTTTCCAAGCATATCAAGTAAATCTGAATTTTTGCTAAGACTTTTCCTGATGTAGGTAAGGCTGATAGCCCACAATTCAATTAGAAAGCTGACGTCTGAATACTTAAACTGCTCGCAGTTGTCCTTTGTAGGAGAGCATGAATGAGTGTGAATATATAGGCATATTCTGCCATCACAATTTTGATGACTTTGATTTTGTAACAGGAAGTGAATTCTTGGTGAGGAATCTTTTACCATCCCACTCATTGTGCAGAGCAACTTTTCAAAATCGCCTCAAGTGGAATTTGTGTGCCCTCAGGATGGTTAATCGTCTAGACAAAGCTAAATAAATAAGTGGATAATTGAGCAGATAAGCTAAAAAAGGGCTGATAAGTCGTTTCAGTTAAAACAAATTTGGGAAAATATCTTGAAGTATATGCATCATTTTAGATAGTTTTTAACAGCTTATGTTTTATACATTTAAGACTACTGGATGCAAGTATTCAGATTCCTTTGTCAGATGAGTTAAAAATTAATAGTTTCATGATTCTGATTGTTCAACTTTTTTATTTATTTAGAGATTGAAAAACTTCAAAATTGAATTTGAGCATTTGTATTCTGAGTATCACCAATCTCTGCAGTAGTTAGGCACTGCTATTGTCTTAATAATCAGATGTTTTGTGCTGTCAGCTTACAGGTCTTCCTAAAACCCACTTTTCTGTTATAGGCATAGCTGCTGTCACTGTCTGTAATCAAGGGGTTGCTTAACAGTTATGTTCTTACTTGTACTGTTTATAACTTGTGCCAAACTGTACCCGTATAAGCTGAAATTTTCTTGAAAAGGTATTTTTTCAGTCCCCTACTTCTGAAATTCAGCTGTTCAGAGCTTAAAACAGGGAAAAGTTGTGATTTTGCTGTGGTGTTACCTTAGGAGTATTTCTTTGAAGCACTTGTGCATCTCCAGGTTTTTAAGCAAGGTCCTGAAGTTCAGTAAAACAAGGTGAAAGGCAGTGCTTTAGAAAAGTTATATGATCCTTACTCTCAGTTAAAATGCTCTCCTTGGTCTTGGGATAAACCTTTGAAAAGTAGAGCATAATAGTTAAAATTGTTGGATGTCTTAATGTGCTACTTTCTTATAGCCCTTAATGCTTGCCAAGATTACCCTGCTGGACCTCTGCACAGAGCAGCCAAGTATGTTCCAGACCGTGGGTTTGTGGGTCCTCGAGCTTTTACAGAAGTAGGCTCTTGGTACTGACCACGGCGGCTGAGAGCAGTGGCCTTTTGGTCCATTCAGTGCCATTAATTGCTGTGATATCTCAGAATTTGTCTCGGGAACTGTAATGCAGGAATCATGCTTAGCAAATGCAGAACAAAAGGATAGGAGGGCAAAGGGGTGGTTTATTGGGCAATGGGACTAGGAAGCTGACCAGTCCTACCCATCCTTAGGTAAGGTTGCCCTCAAGAGACTGTGGGGCAACAAACTGGGTCACACTGGCATGTTGGACATCTGCTTGGTTTCTGACCATCAGGGTTTTCTTTGGCTTTATGGATTTTAATTTTGTTAGAGAAATAAAATGTATAAACGTATAGCTCACTACATACACTTTTGAATCTCTTTATACGTTTTTTGTCTCATGTTTACTAAACTGTCAGCCCAGACATCTGCTAAATTGTGATGAAGTAGGGTTGCTGTGTTTTCAAGAGGGAAATGACTATTTTATCATCGTGTTTACAGGAAGGAGCCTGAAAAAAGCAAAGCAAAATGCTGGTGGTGTGAAGGCTCACGGTCTTTGTTAACCAGATATTAGCCAGTAAAACTTCAGAGATGATAGGCATTTTATTGAGAAGCTATTGAACTTGAGAGGGGCAAAGTTGAAAACTGTCATCTTGATACGTACTGGACAGCATTCATGGATCTGCACTTGTTCTGTGGTGGAGGCTACGGGTCATCTGTGGAAAAAACCCTTCTACTGGTTGCCAGAAGATCTTGTGTTCTTGGTGCAGATATGATTCTCTATTTTCTGTTGCTTCTGAGAGCTGTGTGTTCATTTGGAGAAGTAGTGATTCCTAAGAAAGATTTGCCAAGTGAAAAAATATGTACATATTTTGTATGTAATACAGAAAATCATTTGTTTCAGGTACTGAGCAGTACAGTGAGTACACAGGCTATGCAGAAACTTACCGGTGGGCAAGGAGCCATGAAGATAAGACCCCAAGGTAAAGTTCCACATAAATATTTCAAATGATGGAATAAAGGAATACATTTGTGAACTTGGCCATTTAAGTATTTCCTCGTATTTGCCTTAATAGAGAATTTGCCTCTTTGATCCTGCTCTCTTCAGTAAAGCCAACAAGCTAAAAGAAGTTATATTAATAATATTAATGCTAGTAAATGGTACCTGCCAATACATCAGTTCTTAAACCATCATCTTTTACAGTTACATATAATTAAACCAAATTTTTAAGATACTGACTGAACTCTGGATTTTAATGTGACAAGATGTTTGAAAATGATACCTCAGGTGCCACAGTGCAGCTGATGTGTGGCAAAATACAATTTAATATCATGAATCTAAGTAGAAAGCTCTGAGCCCTTGAATTTATTTCTCCAAAAATGCTATCATAGTGTACCCACAAAATTACCCATTTGGTATAGAAACATACACAATGTACTCTCATTTAAATGTTGGAGGAGGACAGAGAGCCAAAGGGCTTCTCTCTGAGCTTGCAGTGTTCTTAACGTACTTAATAAATAGCGCTGTGTAATTAGATTTGTTACACATTTATGCCCAAAGTCTAGCCAGAGCATTTCTAACCTTATAGGGAGACCTGTCTCATTCTTGGTGTTGCTTTCATTCTCGACACACAAAAAAAGTGCTCCGTTGTCTGTTATGAGCTCACATTTTTGGCTTCTTCTAACAGCAGCTCCGCAGGGCTCATTTTGGGTCAAAGTTACGTGGCCAATATTTAACAACTAACGCCGTTTCCTTTTCTCCTCCCTCCAACCTCAGGGATGAATGGCAGCGACGCTACACTGAAATTGTTGCTATAGATGCATTTCACTTCAGACGTTTCCTTGATCAGTTTAGCCCAGAGAAGATTAGAAGAGAGCTCAACAAGGCCAGTAACTTCTTACAACCTCCTGCAGTCTAAGGCTGTTTCATTAATGTTTATAGTACCTTTTCAAATAGTTTTGTATTATTATCATCAGCTAAGGAAGTTCTTGCTTAGTTGTGTCTCTTATAAAAGGTGCACTTCTCAGGATTTCACTGTCCAATGTTAAAACAGAAACGTCAAATGGAATTACTCTTATCCTTTGATATGCTATTCAAAGCTGTATTTAACTTTCAAAAATACAAATGAAATTTGGATATACATTTCATTAATGAGCCCTAATTTGCAATTTTTATCATTAAATAAGATATTTGCATTTTGTGGTGGTTCCCAGTCCTTGCTGTCTGCCCTGGACTAGGTGCTGCATAATGTTTTGGAACATGGGGCTACTTTTCCAAGCCATGGCAGGTGCTTTATTATGTTTCATGGCTGAGGTTTTAATGTTATTTGGTTTTTTTCTTGCTCTGCTGCTTCTTTTCTTGAAGCTTAAACAGTCTTTTCCCAGCTCTTGAGCTTGTACTTTTTCAATGACTAGTAATTGCTGTCAGAGAGCTGTTTATAGTTCTGAGACCTTAGATTTCAACCTGTGCCAATGTTTTCAAGGCCTTTGCTGTTATCCCATGCATGAATTTTAGCTCCTAATGAGATGCCTGGTATCAATCTCCAGTTCACATAGCAAATTCTCCTAAGTTAATAAGAAGCTAATGAGCCAGAATGAGGGCCTTGCATGGTTAGTATAAGTCATAGGTACTGAAAGGTCTGTGGCCTGTTATAGCGATGGTAATGTTTGGGTTTTTTACGGGGCAGTTGAGTACAAGAATGCTTCCAGTTATACTGTATGAGTGTGCTTGTATTTGGATTCAAAACATGCTAATGATAAGGTCTCCTTAGTGTGCTTGTACATTTATACCTGCAGTGGGCCTCTGCTTGAGCTACGGGGTTAAATACAAGGGCATAACACTGCTGTTGTTAAAGTCTCCTGCTTTCTGTAGTATAGGAGGGTATAGAATAATGTAGGATGCATTTTAAATAAATTCAAACATGGACAGTGTGTTCCTAGTTCTCAGTTGGAAAGGGAAAGGAAATATACCTGAAAAAAAATTTTTTTTTTTTCCCCCGTGCAGAAATATTGTACAGTGCTGAAGGACTAATTTAATTTAGTCATAAAGCCTTAGCATCTTGACTAAAGTAACATTCATCAGCTTGTTTCTTCATGGTTGGTAATGAAATTAGCCCTGAAAAAGACAGTAAATAAATTTTGTTACCTTCAGTAGTATCTTAGGACAAAATTCAAATTACCTACTCTAGTGAATTTATGATCTGCCTACAATATTCAGTATTATTGATTAGCAGATACATTTATGTAGCTAAAAAAGAACAACTCTTCTGCTTCCCATATGGAGGCAACTGCTTTAAAACTGCACAGAAGGCTTTCCTGTTCCTGCGTTCCTAGGTGAAAATGGTGTAAAATATTGGTGTGTTGTCTTTTTTTTTTATCCTTTTTTAAGTGATTAGTTTTTATCATTTGTTTGCTATGAAAAATCATAGGGGAGCACTTAGATATTTTTCTTCATGGCTGCTGAAGTCCTTCCGCATATTTGCTGGTGTTCTTGTTGTGTCTGACAGGACAGTTTTGTTCTTCGTGTCCTGGCGAGTTGAGAAATCCATGCCTGCTAAGAAAAAGCTGAAAAGAAAATGATGTGTTGTTGCTGTTGACGTTCCCTCACTAGGAGGAGGAATTTGAGGAATTACTGTCCACACAGCCAGAGTTATGACTTGCTTGGCCCCACTAGTTTCATACAACCACACTTTGGACGCAAAACACAATAATAATAGCTCTGCTTTGAGAGAGCTCAAGTAGCTGCCTGCACCTGACGATGTGCAAGTGCTCCTTATGCAAACTCTGTATCGTGGTATCCTCAAATTATAACTAGAAGTCTGTATTTGCAACTTAGATCAGACTGGAGTGAACCCTGGGTACTTCAAGCTGTACCAAACAATTGTACCAATATATTTTTGTACTGTTGAAAATGTTCCCAAAGAGATTTATCCTTTTTTTTCTTTATGTGGAAGCACCTGCCTTTACTCAAGATTTCTTAGTGAATATCACACCACCTCCTCCTACCCTCATCTGTTCCATTAGATCTGTGTTCTAAGGTGGCATTTTGTATTTTATTTTCAGTTTTGAGCAATTTCAGTAATACTAGACAGGGCAGTTCAGTTGTCATGTATGATAAATGGGCTGAAAAGCAACAAACATGATACAAGCTACTGTTATTCTTTGCGCTGTCTATCCTGAAAAGTTTCCTGGGGAGTCAGCACCTGTATCTAATTTTTAACTTGGATTCAAATAATTCTTTAGCGATTTACTTTACATTTATAGGAAGACTAATGGTGTATTGAAGTAGTTTGAATTTGGTATTGCTAGAAGACAATTCTGATTACTGTTACCATCTTATTGCTTGAAAATACCGCAACAGATTTGCCTGTCAACTACTTCTTCTGCCTCTTGTCTGCCTGCAGGCCTACTGTGGCTTCTCTCGCCCCAATGTCCCACCTCAACACCTCTCTGCAATAGCCACAGGAAACTGGGGATGTGGTGCCTTTGGAGGGGACTCCCGATTAAAAGGTAAATTATAGCAATTCATTAGCTTTGGTCTTGAGGCCATGAGTAAGGTGGCCTTAAACAGGACTCCCGATTAAAAGGTAAATTATAGCAGTTCATTAGCTTTGGTCTTGTGGCCATGAGTAAAGTGGCCTTAACAAAAACGCGTGTTGCTTTTCTATGCTATTTTCAGTATAAAGCTTGAGGTAAGAGTATGATGGTGAAATGCTGGGTTATAAGGACCTGTAGCACTGAAACCTTCAAAAGCACGGACGCCCGCTATTAGCTCACAAAGAGAAGGTGTTCATTGCAGTTCTCAGTCGTATAAATCAGTTGACCTTTCTGGAGCAGTCTTTTTAGATTACGCCTAAAATTCATATCTCTGGAAAGCTATTTAAAGTACCTGGTGGTTTGCAGGGCTTCACAAATTTGTTGGTAATGCTTAATGTTTAGTTTTGCTCCTTAATATATTGCTGTATGCCAGTTTCCAGTCACTCAGACATGCTCCTTCCTTTCCTGACTTGCCTGCTGTCTCACTTCCTCATGTTCTTTTATTTTTGAGTGTTTATAATGCAGCAGATATCACATGCCTACATTCATTTAAGACTTTTTCCCATCAAGTCAAGAACTGATGGATACTGACATTTAAATTGATACCCTGATTCATGTAGTTCTAAGTAGAAATTTACATTTTGTTGTTTTCAAACATTTGGAGAGGATATAAAATTTACTTTTCTGAACAGCTTTAGGTAGTTACATAGAGACAGACAATCATCAGGCTACCAGCTTCATTAGTTTTCTTTCTTAATGTGTTTTATTCATTGAGCATCTTTTTCTTTTTTTTTCTCTCAATGCTCATTGATTTCCTGACAGTTGTGATTTCCATTAGAAAGAATGGGCTGCCAAGTGCATATCATCAATATCAGAAGTATTTACTGCAGGATCTGATCGTACTTGATTATGATAGGAAGGTTTAATAAATGCTTTGATTTGCAGAAGTCCCCCTCTTGGATCTGAACTGTAGTATCCCACGTATATTTCTATTAATGTATGGTTTTCTGAAAAAAATATGGCTCATCTGATCTAAGCCATTGTTTGTTCACCATTGGATGTGACTTCTAGAATGGGGATTTCTTGACGGAAAGTTTGACCCTCGTTTTATAAGATTTATAGCAATTCAGAATGAACAGTAGGATATTTTTAATATCTTCTGTAAAGTGAAGCAGCATTGTTTGTTTGGAATGAATAATAAGATTCATTAGGTTCTATTCCCCTATGCAAGCTAGTTAATTAGACCCTTTAAAAGCTGAACTACTGAAGCTTTACCAAATCCACACCTGGTTCAGTAGTTTAATTAAAATATCATTCCCAGATTGAGATTAATTTCACATATGAATTGTGTAATTTATAATTTTAGCTCTGGGTTTACAAGAGGGGTTTTTTTGATTAAAGAAGGCAGTATTTTATTAGGTCTCTGCTTAAAAATGTGAAAGATTCTTGACTGAGCTATGAACAGCTTTCATTTAGTTTCCCCTAGCAGGTAGTAATGCAGTACATACACTATTTTATTTAAAATTAATCTTTACAAAGACAATATTAATCACATTTTAATTAACTCTACTTACTGGGTAGAAAAGGAAAGAATTAATATCAGAACCACACCCATAGGCTCTGAAATAAGACAAGCAGCAATGGATGAACTAGTTGCTGGGATCCATTATTTGGACTGTTGCAAATTACCTGAAATGAAGGTGTGATTGATTACACGTGTCTGTGACACTCCAGCCTGGTGGGACTGGCTGGTGGAAAAGCTGTGCTCTTGTACTAGTTTGGTGCTACCTAAAAGGGTCCTGGTGTTTCTTCTTCCTTTCCCTGTTCTTGGCTGAATGGTCCGGTGCCCGCCCTCGCAGCAGCTCTGGCTCTTCACAAACCCTTCACTCGGCCAATTCAGCTGCTAATATAGCAGAAAACAATTAGCTCTTACTCTTTTGCCATGTAACTTTTCTGCCAGGTTGGTGAATGGAGTTGGCTCAGTGAGACCTCTGCTGAGTACCTGAGAGCTGCAGAAAACTCAGGGGGTGGCCGAGAAGGGAGAAAATGTATGTGGACCAGAGCCACTTTCTCCAATTGCAGGAGGTCGTTAGCTTGGCTCAGCTGGACCACTGATCAATCACCAAAGGGTTTCTCAAGATGAATCTTCAAAAATCTGTTTCCAGGATAGGAAGCATTCTTCTTTCTTTTCCCTATAGAAAAACAAATTCTGTCTGTTTTGTAATGTTAGCCATTGACAGAACTTGGGATGCAGTTTAGTCCAGTGAGTTTGACGTAAAGCTGGAAATTAAATAACCTGAATTGCATTTTTGGCATCACCCCCCACGTTTTAGAGGTCAGAACGAGCCATCATATTTTTATGCTGCACGCTTCTGTTGTAGGTAAGATGGACACCTTAAATTGCACAGCAAGAGACTACAGAGCCATAGGTCTTCTCTTGGAGGCTAAGTCAGCTCCTGCTTTGTGTCGCTTACCCAGTGGGAGGGTGGGCTCCTTTCCCTCTTGGGGGGTGGCAGAGAGTGGAAATTGTGATGTGCTGGTGGATGCTTTTTACCTGCTACTTGTGACTGGGTGCATCAGGTTAACCAGGATGTGAGACAGTGCCCTGTCGCCTTAGGCTGTTGTGTGTGTTTATTGGATGGTTAATGGCTGCATGCTCCTTGGGGGTGGACACGGATTATTTTTTTTTAAGCACGTTGTTTATCTGGAAAGTAAGGGTGGTTGTCACCAGTGACTCCAGCAGAATACTTCAGCACTCTGAGCTGCAGTGCTCGGTATTCTTTACTTTGTTTTAAAAGTGGAAGTAATATTTACCTACTGATTGTTTGAATTGCTCTGTAGCATCCACCTGGAGATGGGTTGTGTGATTATTTGCTGTAAACTTGGCTGCGTATTTCCCTTCAGCAAATTGTTTTATCCTGTATTCATGTCTGTAATCTTTTTTTTTTGCTGTTTCAGCCTTAATACAGATATTGGCAGCTGCTGAGGCTGGACGTGATGTTGTTTATTTTACCTTTGGAGATGTGGAACTGATGCGGGATATCTACAGCATGCACACTTTTCTCTGTGAGAAGGGCCAAACTATTGGTGAGCACAAAGAAATCTTTTCATGCAGCAAAGAGACTTAACCATCTCTGTCAGTGGAAGGGGTCCAATAAGAACTATTGGCATCAAGTCCTAAACACCAGGAAATACATCTCAGATTATTTACTCCTGTTTTCAGAGTGTGGAACTCTTCTGATTCAGGGTCAACTGCACAGTGTTAATCTGTTAAAAGACTTCTAGAATCCTTTGGTAACTCACTTGGGAGTTACCTTCCAGAATTTGGAAAATATGGATACATGTGGTAGACAGAAGGTTTGCAAAAGTTTTTAATATAACTCAAAATGCTTTGAAAAGGGAAAATCTGCGTATGCATTCTTGACCTAGGTTTGTCTTATAGTGGTTCTGGCTTGATCCTGCAAGATGGAAAGTGGTCAGATATGTTATCCAGTAGCAATACAAGAAAAGCAGTGTATCCATTGCCCCACTGTGGTTGTTAAATGTCTTTAATTTGTGGGACAGAAGCCCAAAGCCAGGTAATTGGCAGTGTGTTTGTTAGTACGTATGCAAGCCTAATGTCCAGGTAGATTGTGTGGAAAGCTCAGCAGAAAGCTGAGGGAGCTGTTGTGGTTGAACCCAGCAGGCTGCAAACACCAGCAGCTGCTCACTTGCTCCTGTCCCCTCCCCTGCAGTGAGATAGGGAACAGAATCAGGGAGGGGGGAAAAAAAAAAGGTAAAATTTGTGGGTTGAGATTAAAAAGCTCCACAGTTTAATAGGACAGCGAAGGAGGAGAAAGTAATAACAACAATAATGATTAAAAGGATGCACAAAACAAGTGATGCAGAATGCAGTTGCTCACCCCCCACTGACCAGTGCTCAGCCTGTTCCCAAGCAGTGATGGCAGCCCCCCGGCCAGCTCCCACAGTTTATGTACAGAGCATGATGTCTCATGGTATGGAATAACCCTTTGGGCAGTTTGGGTCAGCTCTCTGGCTTTGTCCCAGCTACTTGTGCACCTCCCCACCAGCAGAGCATGGGAAGCTGAAGAGTCCTTGACTTACTATAAGCATTACTTAACAACAACTGTAAAACATCAGTGTGTTATCAGCATTCTCATGCTACTCCAGAACACAGCACTATAGCAGCTACTGGGAAGAAAATTAGGAGTTGTGTTCCCTTATACAGTTGTCTACCTCCTCTTTCCTCATTTACAGAGATGTTCCTCTCCACTGTCTTGGTGTGAGTGTGTGTTTCTAGTCTTCATTTGCAGTCATACATTTCTTCCTATGGCATGATCTTACATTTTAAAAATTATTTCTTTTCATTTTTAAGGGGACATTTATAGGCTGTTACTGAGATATTACAATGAAGAATGCAGGAGCTGTTCCACCTCAGGACCGGATGTCAAGCTGTACTCTTACATTTACAACACCATTGAGTCCTATGCAGATTCTACTGATGATGATGAGGAGGAAGAAAAAGGATTGTGCTTTGAGGATTAAAATAGATGTATTTGATCAGAATATTGTTCATCTCCTCCCACTGGTATATTGTTTGAATCGCTGGGTATAATGTATGAATTGGCTTAATATATATTGACTGTATTGGTAGTTACATGTAACACCCAAACAGCAAAAAAATATCACTTTTGAGAGACAAGATTTTTTTTTTTGGTTTGATGTTTTCATCCATGAAAACTGTATTCATGGTGTACAGAAAAGACTTGGTCAGTCTGGTTCGTGTTATACCTTGTTAAGCAGGATGTTTTGGTACCTATTTCTATTTCAGTCAAGAGATTGCTGAAAGACTTTAGAAGAGTCTTCTGTACTCCATTGCCTTTATTTTTCGGAGATCTTCTCTACATTTCTCATGTAAGCATAGTGCTGGAGTGCAGGCAGCCGTGTGACTCCTGGGATGATTTCAGAGAGAAGTGTTGTAAAGATTGTTTTTACTGAAAATTGTCATCATTTGATTACCTCCTTAAGACTGCCACAGTACCTTCATTGTTCTTATCAACTTATTCATTGAACTTAAAATGTCCTGGGTTTAATCTATTTTTTAATAAATGGTTAAAATGGATGGATTCTGGAGGAGCTGTAGTGCATTTCACAGCCGCATTGTCTCGAATCGGACATAAAAGACAGCATGAAGTACAGGAGGGTGGGAAAATGAGAAATGCGACCAAAGTTGGAAGCAGAGGGAAACATTTTCACAGGAAACTCTTCAATACCATTTTGTTGGTGCTGTCTGAACAAGGTCTTAGAGATGTGAGCAGATTGGAGGTTTCTCGAGGTTCAGTGGCGTTGGTGGTATCAGTTGAATTAAGGTCTGGTACTTGTGTTTGTATTGTCACATCAGTTCTCCTTTCTCTCAATGTGCACCTATGTGAGCATAAGGTCCCCATGGGACACTGGGAGTGAAGAAATGGAATTTACTTACATACCAGTGGGAGGAGAGTCTGCTGCAGGTAAGAACATGAGGTCTTGTTAGGAGTTTGCGCTTCTGTCTTTTTAGGCATGGGAGCGGTAGGGATGAAGAGAGGGCAAAAGATGTGTAAAAACTGTGCTATTACTATCTCTGTGAATACCAAATTAGTGTTGCTGTAGTAATTAATAATTTACAAAAAAGTGCAGATACATCTGTGATAAAACCTTCCCAGGTCTATGTACAGGGCCAATCCAATGAAACATTTGTCTATTAGTGGATTAAACCCAGTTTAAGTTTAAGCCCAAATTGGTTAGTGTAGCCTCTTCTGTGTTAGATTTTCTGGTCTGCCATGGTTGCAATTCCCGATTTAGGAATACAAGTTAAAACTGTAGCAGGAAATGTAGTGAGCTAAGGCTCTAGTATCAACAAATCCCTTTGGCTAATGTCAGATAAATCCTTTCCAGACCTGAAGCACAACATGGTAGTTAAATGCTGGCAGCTGTTGACAGTCTGGCTTACCATAAAGCACTTGCTGCTTCAGCTGCTCTGGTGGAAGCAACAGCAAAGAGTTTGGGTCATTTATGAACACCTTGAGAGTGCGGTGCCTGTGCGTTAATGCCACACGGGCGGCTTGGAAGCGCGTTGCTTGGAAGGTGACAGACCCAGCAGCTTAAAGGTTTCTTTCTATTCTTCCCACCAGCTGTAGTTTTCTGCACCCCATCCCTTATAAGGAGAAGATTTGAGCTAGAATTTCAGGCCTTTTCCTGTGTTTCCAACTTGTGTCCTCAGAATTTAGCAGAAATCTTTTCTCCTGCTCCTGGTGTTTCAGTGTTGGATCAGATTCCGGCAACAGGAATAACAGTGTTTTATAATAAGCTCTTGTTTGGGCATTTAGCTTCAACTATGATAGTGCTCCTAGATGCAATGTCAATAATAAATGTACCCTGTTAATTAAGACAAGTGATGGAAAATTGGTGCTATCTGCCAAACCTTCTTCACCTGACTACTCAGGATTTCCTATAGAAAAGGTGAACAGAATTTATACCTAAGCAACTGGAAGAAAATATAGCAAAAAGCTTTAGGTGGCTAGATGTGACCTCCCCTTTATTGTAAATAAATACATCCTTATTAGTGCAATATTAATTTTCATTGTGAGGGGAAGTGATTTGTCAGGTATGAAAAATTTACCAAAATAAGATGGCATAAAATTTTACTTCAGCTCTAGAAACAGAAAAATATATTTAACTTGGGAAGGATTCTCTGAAGATCATGTTTTAAGGTATCCAGTTAAGACGTTTTGTAGTGTCAAGTGTCCCTGGATAATCCTAGGCATTTTGTGCACTCTGTATTTTCAATGATACCTGAGAATTTTCTGATATGGGGAAGAATGCCTTTTATTTGAGATCATTCTTTAGGATATGTTTACCACCCTCATGAAATAAGGTTGTATGAAGAGGAGAAAAGGAAAATAACAACTCATTTTCTGTCTAATGTGTCATCTGACTAAGAGTTATGTATCCAACGTTATACTGTATGTCCCTGGTGTTGTAAAGAACAATGTTGTAAGAACACTTTGAATATGACTTAAATCGCAGGCAGCCTGAAGATTATATTTTTTTGTTGTTGTTTTGAGGGTGTTTTTGAGAAAAATAGCCCAGAGTTCACAAATTAGCAACGATGTTACATTCCCATGACTTTGTAATTCAGTAAAGAGCTAAACTGCCCAGATTGCTGCATGTGGAAGCAAGAATTTTGCATCAGCCCAACACGTGCTCTGCATCTTTCTTTCTTTATCCCTCCACCCACCGCTCTGCATTTCTGAACTATCAGAAACTATTTCTTTGGCGAGAGATGGCTTTTGGGGCTCTCTTTGAAGTAGCAGGGAATGGAGGTGCCAATGATCTCTCTGTGCAGCCTAGGAAGCTTCAGTTCCGCTCTTCTAGAAACCTGTTTATGGTGTATCCTGTTTTTTTTTGGGTTTTTTTTATTACTTTTAGGGATTTTTGCTATATGATTTCAAATAAAAATAAACTTCCTACCAAAACTTTTGTTTTATACTTTTTAGCAGCTAAACTGAATGCATAATACAAAACAACAGGCAGTCATGGAGATTGCAATGTTGCCTCATAGTCAAGTTTGGTGTCAGAGCAATTCTGTTGTTTTACAGCTCTTGCACCTAAATCCCTCAGTTTTGAGGTGTCTTATCTAATGATGAGTACCCGATACTGTATATATTAATTTATAAACTGTCAAAGTGTTCCTGATGTTCTTCTAAACTTACAGTTTATGCACCATGATATTATATTGATTTTTCTGGATCTGTATGCTAATGTTTACATGATTTTGTAGGAATACAATTAAAAAATTCTGACTGAAGTAATATTGTGTGCTTTGTCTCATGATGTCTTTTCCAGGACAGAGAAATTCCTGTGCATTTGAATGTACGTGGCACAATACTGTGGATAGTTCTAGCAGTAAATTTAATAATTCAGGTATTTTGACACATAAAATTCATGACACATAAGATGATGTAGGTAATTCATTCTGGCTGTAGAGTATTGTAGCGGTTGCTCTCATTTGTGTAGCAAAGTAAAAAGGAAGTACCTTCTGTAAATGGGAAGGGTGTTGGTGTGAGTGTGAGATTTCCTGTGTGTGTATGGCCACGTGCAGACATTTGGGTGTTAATTCCCAGCTTGCTTTTGGTTAAGCAAGTAAGTGTTTGGCCATTCTTTCAACTTCACGAAGGAAATGTAATTAATGAAAGCAAATAAAATGCTAAAAAGATAGAAATAATGAATATGTTGCATAAATGTTGGCATGGTTTTTAAAAAAAAAAAAAAAAAGTGGGACTGACATCCTCCTAAATGAAAAGATTTAGAACTGTTTTTCAAAAATCTTGTTTTAAACCAGTAAGGAACCCATTATTTATTTTTTTTAGCATTACAGAAAGTTATGATAAAATATAATTTCTGATTGCTCCTGAGGTTTTAGGTGTAGCTGAGCTTACTGAAGAGCGAATACGGAAGGGTTTAGTCTGCAGTGCAGCAGGCACCTCCACAGAAGCAGAAGGAGCAGTGAGGTGCTGCTGCTGCCACAGGCCACTCTCTCAGTGCACCCTCAGGTACGGCTCGTCCTTCCTGGCTTTAGATTTATTCTTCTCGTGCAAATGGGCAAAGTGGTATCATTCTCTGTAGGAGGCGTTGGGCCGAGTGTTGGGTATTCTGGAGATGATGGGCTCTGGTAGCGTGATGAGTGGGGAGAGAAGGGCTGATGCCCTTCATGTAAACCCCAGGTGGTGGGGGAGCAGGAGAAGGTGCTGACACTCTGCTGCTGCAGCAGGGAAGCAGCTGCCAGTCTCTCCTGTCCCAAGCTGTCCTTGATCTAATAATTGGGAGCAGCAGACACTCTCAGGAATATGCTTTATTAATTCTTAAAAGCAACTGGAGCCTTTGGAGATAGCTCCTTAGGGATAAAGCACAGCTGCAAGGGCTCCTTCCCCATGGGCTTTTCCCATTTTTGTCCATTGCAAACCATTGGCTTCCCAGCTATCTCAGTACTTGGGTAGAGGAGTCCCAGACAACTGAATTTCACAACTTCTGACGTTTACATTCCAAACAGTCTGCATCCTCTCGGCCTAAGCAGCATTCTGGGACAGAAGGACGGACAGATGGATGTCAGACCTTGGGATACCAAAAGCTGTTGTGAACTCTGTGAGGTTCACCGATGTATTTGTGTATCAGCCAGTGTAGGGTGATGCAATATTTGCTCTGGATGGATGACTGGGATTTTTTTTTTCCTTTTTTTTTAGATCTGAAAAAAGTCTCCTTTCACTATTTTGTGGTACATTTTTGACAAGAGTGAGAACATCCATAAAATCACGGCAACTGCAATTGTGTATCAGCCAGTGTAGGGTGATGCAATATTTGCTCTGGATGGATGACTGGGATTTTTTTTTTCCTTTTTTTTTAGATCTGAAAAAAGTCTCCTTTCACTATTTTGTGGTACATTTTTGACAAGAGTGAGAACATCCATAAAATCACGGCAACTGCAAGATGCTGCAGCTGGCTGAAGTTGCTGTTGGTTTTTTTTTTTTTTTAACTAAGAATTGAGTATTTATGGTCTTGTTTTGTGCTAACAGTGTTTCATGCTCATTTATCATTGCTTAAGTGAGTGTGACCTGGAAGCAGCGTAGGAGGTATCTGTCACCGATAACTCCATTACAGCAACACCATCAATTTCTGCTTAACTGAGCTGTCAGCCGGGGTTGCGTTACGTGGTTCTGGTAAGTGGCACTTGGCAGCGGTGAAAGGAAGTGCTGATATGTTCCAGGTCCTCTTGATAGCACTGTGGTACACTGTTAGGGTGTCTGTGGGTGTGTGTATGCTGTGGTACACTGTTAGGGTGTCTGTGGGTGTGTGTATGCTGTGGTACACTGTTACGATGCCGGTGGATCATTATCAAGACCACTCACAGGGCAGAGGTTGTTTTTCTCCTAACCTTTACTTTCCAAGTTTGCAGGTCTTTGCAAAGAGGGCAGAAAACACTTTAGGGAAACAATTATTTTTGCTTCTGTGTTCCCATTTGCTGCGTTGCCATTTCCTACGTATTGGTGTCCAAGAAGAAATCACCTGTATGGGTTTCCTTAGGTGGCTGCTTGATTAATGTTTTTCATTTGTGAAAGGCTGTCCTGACTGGCTGCTGACAGGAGAGGGAAGGAAGAGGGGGGGAAAAAAAAAAAAGGTGATTTTTTCTGAAAACAGAAGTGTGAGCTCCAACAGTGTCCGGTAAGGCGTGTTTGTTTTGGAGCTCAGTGGGGAAATGACAAGTTTCAGCACCTTACACAGCCAGAACGTTGCAACTTTAGAATTGAGAATAAGAAATTATGGAAGAATTTCTCCAGGCTGCCTCGTTAGGTCAAGTTGTTTTGCTTTGTGTAGCTGGAACACCAGAAAGTAGGTTCTCAGTGAAACATTTCCATGGACTTGTGCATCTTCATCAGTAGGAAGGTTCCCATGTTAATGGTCCTGAGTACCCGCCGTCCCCTTTGCAATAATCTTCAATAACTGGGCAGGTGAGAAACTGAATCTGTGTATTGAGAAGGCAGGGTGTCCCCTCTGGCGTGCGTTGGCTTTGCAGGACAGACAAGGATGAAAAGCAACACCAAGGCCTTTTCCCATTGCAGGAGTTTGACTTGCTCTACTCGTAAAGGAAATTAATTTGTTGAATTAATCTGTTGAGCTATTTCCACACCAGGTGTTACCTACAAAGGGACGCTTGGGAAAGTTCATGATCTTGAACTATGTATGGCATTAGTGTGGATTATCTCTACACAGAAAGAAACTTTGTTTACCTCCATTTGAAAGCAGAGGAAGCTAAATCAAATAAGTTAATTTTGAAGAGCATCCATTTAAGATTTAGATGTATTTTATCTAATCAGTTCCAAAGGTGCTTCAGAAGAACCTTCCTGCATGGCCTGATGTCAGTGAGGACATCGCTCCTCCGAGCATGTACACTGGGCTTTCAGCTGGAAGTTGAAGGGAAGTGCTGAATTTGCTAATCGATTTCATTCATCAAAGCATCTTGGCAATGAGGTACTGTACAGATTAAAGTGTTTCACCACAGCACAAAGTTAATTTTGCTAAGATTTGAAGACTTATCTTTTAAAAACTAAAGGTTAAGAAAATTGCTTTGAATAGCTAAATCATGTTATTGAGTAATGACAAGATTTTCCTAAATGTACAATGAATTGATTGGATCTAAACCAAAATGTCATGGAAATAAATTACGGTAATTGTAAGTGTTTTGCACCCTTTTATACAGAGGATAAGGTCCTAAAAAATTGTATTTTCAAATCCAGAGCTAATTCTATTCCCAAAATGCCTGCATTGTAAGGTAATTACCCTGTTGCAGTTTTAAGTCATTATTTTGCCTGTTGCCTGAGGAATTTTACAGCAGAGCAGTATTAATAAGATGCCAGGAGTACGAATTTCATAACTTAATCTCTGTCATAAATGGCACTCATATAAACAAAGTGGCATTTTCATTCATAATTACTTGACCCGCGGCAAATGTGGGTCAGGAATGAGGGATGTTTGATTCTACAGTCTGTGGAAAATCAAAACTTTTGCATTTTGAGTAGAAAGGTAGGAAAAAAAACGCAGTGTCTTCTGGGCAAGGACTGAATGTAAGGTAACTTTAAGAAAAGGCAGCTTCTAATTCTTCCATGTTGTAAATCTCAGCTAAGTGGCATTTAAACTTTACTGTTGGTGATGACAATTCCCTGAGCCTTCATGATGAAAAAAAGACCTACTGATTGATTCGGTCCATCCCTCCATCATTCCGCCAATTCCATGTACACAAAAACTAGCAGCCAAACCCAGCAGATTAAATTTAAAATGCAACAGATTCAAAGCTCCCCCCTCACCCCATCTGAAACTTGACGGTTTGATTGCAGGCAATCATGAGGAGTAGATGTTTTAATGACAACTAAGTACATCCTAAAGTCATCTGACTTCAGTATCTGGGGCTCTAAATCTTTTGACTGGCTTTGTTGTTGTTTTTTAAAGTTTTTGAAGTCGTAAATTTGTTTGTCGGTCATTGGCACGCGAGAGCTGGAAACACTCGGGTGAACCTGCACCCCTCTGCATGGCAGTTTTGGGAGGGTTTTGCCACCCTGAGTGACAGCAGGAACCTCCTTTGCCTGCGGGGAGAGCTTTTGGCCCCAGTAGTTTGAAGGGCTTCAAGGCTAAGCAAGTTCCTGTTTGATTTAAACAAGCATCCCCCTCTTTTTGCCTCAAATCTTGATTACATGCGACCTTCAGCCTCAAAATGTTAATAAATTACTTGGAGATTGGTTCTGCCACAGCCTAGTAAAATCTCCCAGCAGATCTGTGTAAAACCGTACCCATGAAAAATGCTTAGGCTGCGACCAAAAGAATGTATTTATATACTTAAATGAGCAGGGAAAGGCTTTGCTGTTCTGAAAATTTATGTGGCAATGACCTCACAGAGCTATGACTTAAGGGAGTTAAATCTGGTTTTGAGTTCTGATCTCTGGGAATACTCAGCCAATGTTTTATCGAATGACGTGGACAGGAATGGATGGGTCACCACGACTGGCACCTGGAAACAAAAGTATTCACTGTTCCCTTAGTGTTTCTCTAGGGCTAAGGAATACTGCAAGCAGTAAGTAGTGGCCTAAGTATCCTAATGTTGTATTGAATAGTTTGTATTTCTAAGTATTTCCAAAAAAATGAATATTCTGAACACCCCCAGGAAGGGGAAATTCTCTGCAGTGGGCTGAGGGAAAGAATGAGGTGAGAGACTCGTGCAGGTTCCCTGCTCAGTGTCCAGCAGACGCAGGCAGGGAACCTTTTTACC